TGCCACCATTACGTTTTCCCTCCCCCCTCAAAAACATTTTGGTATCTCCTTCCTTTCATATGGTCTCCTGCCAGAAAGTTTTAGGCTGATAGAACTGCAGAAAAACCAATTGCTACCAACCTGCCTTCCATTAAGGACCTGTATACTGCAAGAGTCAAAAAGAAGGCTGTGAAAATATCTACAAACCCCTCACATCCTGGGCATAAATTGTTTCAACTTCTACCCTTAAAATGATGCTACAGGGCACTGCACACCAGAACAACTAGACACAAGGACAGTTTTTTCCCCAAATGCCATCAGTCTGCTAAACAACTAATCCCCACAACACTGTCAAATTATTTACTAAGACTGTATTACTATTATTCTGTATTACTATTATTCTTCTCTTCCTTCCTAGAACCTATTTCTTTCCACTTATGGCTATAACCATGTTGCTTGCATCTTTAAAATTTATAGTTTTGTTTCCTAGTATAATTTGATTATTAGTAACCTATGACTATCACTAAGTGTTGTATCTTATGATTCTTGATGAATGTATTCCATTTTATTTTTATGTACACAGAGTATATGCACAAAAGACAAACTCCTGGTGTGTCCAATCACACTTGGCCAATAAAGAATTCTATTCTATTTACAAACAATAGGGAAAAACTGTGGATTAAAAAGTGCACTTCTTAGAAGCAACCAGCTCAGTTAGGCCCAATTGCTTTAAGGGCGCATGGTGAGAATGCTAGGGGGTAGCTCAGGAAAATCGAGAGACACTTTTCTCCTAAGATGTCAGACCTCTGTTGATGCAGCATTCTGGCAATAACTAGAGCAGAAGGTGTGGTCGCTCTCACCTCATCCTATGCTTCCTAAGTGGTAGAGGTGTTCAGGAAACACCTGAAGCTGCAGCACCTGATTTATTATGAGCCAAAATAATTAGGGGAAATTGCTGCTGGTTTCACACATATAGTCAAACAATCTCTTAATGCATCTAGTTTCCATTTTTTTAAATAAAAAAAAGTTCACGGGGTATGTATCTAGAATTCTTTTGTTATTCAAGCAATATGTAGGCAGTTCAAGCTTTGGAAAAACCTCACCCATGAAAGCAGCTGGTAGCAGCATGGAGGGAGCTCTGCAGAAAGCCACCCACCAAACTGAGAACTTTCCCACTTGTACCTTTAGACCTGGAAAATAAATGTTGTACGGCATGTTCCTTTCAAATTGGGGCAGTTTTCCCGTTGCACAGTGCACACATTGAGCTCCCACTTGCCAGCTATTAAGAAACTAGGAGTGCATTGCAGAATTCTGATCCTGCAGCCACCCTTCCCAGGCATGGGCATTGTTCCTCCCCTCAATCTCCTAATGGCCTTGACTGCAGCTTAATTGTTAAGACCACAGCCTGATACTGGTTGAATACTAAATAGAAAAGCTAATCAAATAATTTACCTGTAGTTTAAAGGGTTCTCCCTGCCAGTACCACAAAAAAGGCTGTTTTTGCGTGCACACACACACACGCGCACACACACACACACACACACACACACACACACACACACGATACTACTGTACATACAAGCAGCAGTCCAGCTTCACTTATCCACAGCTGACATACCCAGGCTGCAAAAATCTAAATGACCATCAGGTGGCAGCAAAGAGGTAAGGAAAGATAATCTTCAATGCTGGCTAGAAACCATCTGGATTTTTGCAGGCCAGATATCATAGCCTTGAGGAGGAAGGCAGACATAAGGATTAGCTACCTTTGTGAAGATACAATACCTCTGCATGTGTATACACATTCTGTTGCAATACAATATGTATTGCCCTCAATAATTATAAGCATAACAAGTTTAGAAAGATAACAGATAAGAACAGATAAGAACAGATAGAAAGAAACAAGATTAATCAGCGTTCTGTTTTTTGTTCATTAGAGGATAAGCACACCAAAAAACTCTATCCCCAAAATAATGCAAGCATCCAGAGAACGTATGGATATCTGAACCGAATCTGCTGTCCTTTTAAGCTCATAACTGCCAGTCAGCCTAACAAAGGGTATTTTCAAGATATAAACTATCCAGATTCATTTTTTTCCAAGCAAAAATGATTTACCCAGCAAACTGTAGACCAATAATGATTAGGTCAGCTCCAACACCACTAAGCCAGAAACAAAGTAAACTTTCAATGCCATTAACTTTTGTCTCAAGCCAGTGGACCATAAACTTGGTGTATCATCCCGGAAATTCAGGAGGTTTTGTCAATAATATAAAAGAGTAGAATGCCATCTGCTCTGCTCTCTCACAAAACATGAAATTCGAGGCTCGTCTTACTACGCGTCACACCTGTAGGAGCAGCTTTTTGCTCGGCGTCCACACCACCACTCAAGTAGTTTGAGTCCCTCTACAGAAGCACTCATGGGAGCAGGAATTATTCTCTCCGGCTTCCAGTCTCTAACCCCGTTGGCAGCCCCCCCCCGCCCCCCACCACGAAGAATTCCCTTGTTCACAAATGCCGTTGGTGCGGCGGGAGGGGAGGGAAGTCCTCCAATTCCTCCGCTTTCTCGACTACGGGCGTGCACTTGACGCCTTTTTCATTCCTGCCTCAGTTTCCCCAAAACTTAACCTACAAGTTTTGTAAGAGCAGAGACTCATTTTGGGCAAAACCGGCAGAGAAACGTCGCTGAAGCAATAACCCCCTTTTAAGCCCCCTACTTCTGTAAAGACCCGCCCCCCCACACACACAAAAAAACCCCACGCACCTTATCAATCAAGTTGGCAAACTTGTTGTTGAGGACCTT